AACTAGCTACCACACATGGCGCCCCACTTCTAGAGATAAACTAGCTACCACACATGGCGCCCCATGTCTAGAAATAAACCAAGATTCAGGTCGCCGCCGTTGTTCTCATGAGCGAGAGGGTAGGTAAGTTTGCAACCATTTGAAGTATGTTACCTATGTCTCACTTATTGTGAGACTTAACTTCGCCTTGCCTCTCGTATGGCACCACTAGGTTGGTCCAGAACTATAGCTGCTACATCTTTTCCTTTTCCTATGTGAGTTTTAATCGGTTTCATTGTTTTAGATTAGCTTTTCTTTGATTTTCCTTCTTTCCTTTTTTTTATTTTTTCTTTATTTTTCGTTGGTGTTCTTCAATTTCCTATGTTTCTTTCTTCATTTTCAGTGGATTTTTTTTCATACATGTCTACATTTTCCCTATACGTTGTACATTTTTTGGATCCATCCGGAACATTTTTTATACATGTTTAACATTTTTTCAAATACATGATTAAGATTTTTTTTTCAAATATATGTTTTGATTTCTATTTGTTTATACACATTATACATTTTTTGCATACATCGAATTATTCCTATACACATTTACTATTTTTTAAATACTTCTTTTATGTTTTTAGATACATGTTTTTGAACTTTTTTAGTGGGTGTTAAACAATTTTCAAATAAATGTGTACCAACTGTTTTGAATGGTAGAAACCATATTTAACTACACGAACATTTTTGTACATAGTATGATTTTATTTAAAAAGTCATTACAATATTATCAAAATGTGTAAACATATTTTCAAATGTACCTTGCATTTTTAATGGTACAATAATTTTTAATTACATCAACATTTTCTTTATGTTGTATAAACAAAATTTTAAATGTCATGTACATTGTTTTGAATTGCAATAACATTTTTAAATCTCACAAACGATTTTAATGCTATGAAGATTTTTTTTAATTTAGGCTAACAATATTTTTATACCGATTTGACATTTTTCAAATTCATGGTTTAAATAAAACTAAAGTAAAACTAAGTTCTGATATATATATATATATATATATATATATATATATATATATATATATATATATATGTATGTATGTATGTATTTAGAGTAGCTTAATGAACAAACAAATAATAAAAAGAGATAAAAACAAAACAACCTGCATGAATCTACTTGGGTTGGCCCATTAGTAGCTACGCTGAGGCGAGACAAGCATGTGTCTCGCTGAGGACGAGACATATTCATCACGCACATAGCAACTTCCATTTAGACTTGATTGTCGTCGTTGACCTAGGGCATAGCCAGCAGCCGTCACCAGCTCTTTTGATACTTTGTTCTTGTGTCGCGGCATTCGACGTCACAACAGCGTGTTTGGTGCGCACCCGTCATCCCTGACGCATTGATCATCAGAGTCTCGTTATGACGGCGTGTGGCTCATGCGAGTCAACCCTAGACATGTACTCCCTCCGTCCTATAATATAAGAACATTTTCAAACTGTTGTAGCTTGGAAAACATTCTTATATTATGGGACAGAGGGAGTATATCATTACATATTAATGTTAATGTTAGATCTTTAGATATTAGTATAGTATTTTTGTTAGATCTATTAGAAATTACATACTCTTTTTTGAAGTTTTATTTGCGCTCACTATGTAAACTCTTTGTTCGGAACTATTAGCCTGTCTTGGACACTACCATAGTACCATACAATCACACAAAGAAAATATTTGTTTCGAAGTCTAGTTAGTTATTTTTGAAGTTCGATGTGTTTCAAGAATGAAGATGAAATAATAACGTACCACCTTACTTTTGAAATTGAAGATCTGACTGAGGAGATGGAGCTCGCCCTGATCTCATTTAGGTTGATATGCAAACTCTTAATAACATATGTTGGCATCTGTAGAAATTCCAGTATAAACTCAAACCGAGAGCACATCATATGGTAATACTTTTTGCAGTTATCGTCCCACTTGCCCTCACTGTGCTTAAATCTTGGCTCCGCCTCTACCGGTATTTCTAATAGCCGCATGCCGTACGCTCTAGAGTCGGAACAATATTGGACCGCCAGCCCTATCCGCTACTCGTGCGGCTCGGCTAAATTTGACATCTCGAGTTCTGGATTGTATACTCCAATAGTTAGCGGTGTCCCATCGATGCCTCGCACTTGGCGGGAAATGTCCACCTGGACTCGTGACTCCTCTTCTCCAACTGTATCACCTTGTTCGTGTAGTTTTTCCAGTCGGCAGCCATGCATGTTCCCAAGGTCATGCACCTTGTTCTCGAGCCCGATGCAACAATTAGCGTGCATCGTGCACACCCTGTCCATCTTGCTATGGAATTGGCAGAAGCCATCGAAGAGTGTTGTATCGAGGAACACGAACTTGATGTGCAGCTCGTCAGCGGCAAGCTCGGCCTTGATCTCGTTGAAGACCGCCTGGTCGCGGGTCGGTGGGAACCGTGATCTTGCTACGCGCCATCTCCTCAATATTTCCACCGTCCGGTTTGTGGACTTGACGTAGTAGAAGCCGGTGTTGGGTGCGTTCGTGAGCGCCTCCGCGTCACCATTGAAGCGGTCGGTGGAGACGACCATGTCGGCGTAGAGGCTGATATGCCGGAACGGGTTACGCAACCACATAACATCCACATCCTGCATGGACATAAATTAACTGACGATATCAGAGTGTGTATGTTTGAACCTATTACATTTTGGTTCACTTGTTGAAACGTGAATGAAAATGATAATTTAGAAGAATGCATAAGCAGCTAGCTAGCTTACGGTGAAAAGGTAGTTGTAGCCGAGCTGGAGGACGCGCTGCTGCAGGGAGAGCTTGGCCCAGACGAGCTCAAGGTAGCTTTCGGTGAAGAAGCGGTTGGCAGAGCTGACATTGGCGGACGTGACCTCGAGGAGGTAGCAATGCGGGTGCACCGCCTCACAGTGGGACATGGCGCCGGGGTCAACGGCCACGATGAGGGTGTGATTGAGGAGGTGCGCGATCCCCTCGCCGTTCTTGAAGCTCTCGCGGAATAGGTCGAGGAGGGAGCCCGGTGCCGCCCACGCCTCGTTCACCGACGTAACGATCACCGTCCCGTCGTCGGTGGCCACCTTTGGCAGCAGCTCTGCGAGCCCTCGGAATCTCTCCTCCTGCATGTCCTGGAAATTTTACGATCAATTCGTAAGATCTTGAGAACTATTGACAGGCCTGGGCGCACAACCCAAACCCCGGGCAGGCAAACCTTTTCCGCGCTCGAGAGGTTGGCGTGGCTAATCATCTGATGAGCCGGTCCATTCCCCAAGCTGGATATGAATATGCTGGCCAGTCGATCCCCGACCCGATCGGACGCGAGGAGGAAGAGCATGAGGGTGGGCAGGAGAGCCCCGAGGAGGAACGAGGCCGAGTGGCCGAGGCCGCCATTGCGCTGCTTGCTCTTCATGCCGATCGCTATGACCCGGAGCCGCAGTAGACTTACGGTAGAGGTAGAGGCCAATGCTGCTGCTAGCTAGCCTGTCGAGGTGTACTTAAACTCCTCTGCGAAGTGAGGTCGACCGCATCTGCATGTGCATGAGAGGAGCTAGCAGAAGGTACGACGATCCATGTGCATTCGTTGGTTTTGAATGATGTGGCAGTTGTACTTGCTTCCAGCTCCATGTGTACGGCAAGGAAGATGTCAAAACGTACCTGCACACACATGGGACGTACCGAAGAGCGCGCTGTTCTCTGGCTTGGCAATGGCCATGCCATGGAGGTATCTCGCGGCCGGTATATTCTGACTTTCTCACGGCCACCAGACGAACGTACTGGCCAATGGCCATGATCATCCCGAGGTCAGAGGTGAGATGGCAGCATGTGCATGAGCGACAGAGAGACCGGTACGTACCTACGATAGGTAGGGTCTCTAGGGAGCTCGTTATTTGTTTTTCATCGAAAATACATTTCCTACGTCTTAAAAAAACTGAAAAATAAATAAGCACAAGCATATATGCATGAAATTTCTTGAACGTATATGTTCATTAGTCTTGCTAAGTCCGAGTCGACTAAGACTTCATCATGTCTCAGTCGATGCTATATTCATGAGGTCTTATGTTGAGATCCGTGCAATTTTCTTTTTAATTCTTTCTTACATGATATAACACTCTATGTTCATATGTGATATACACTCTCCCCATTTCTTTTTACTTCACATATTAGATTTTCTTATGTCAAAACTTTGAAAGTTTGATCAATTTTATAGGGAAAAACTACAAATATTCATGATAACCGTATACACAAAAAAGACTAATACATAGATTAATATAGTTTGTTTTGCTGTATCCGGTCCAAAAAAATTTAATCTTTTTATGTAGCATGCAAGTAACCGACTATTTAATGGAACTTTATAGATACTTAGAGAACATGTATATGTATTTGTAGATTTTTTTTACTTTTAACTATGTTTTGGTTTTTTGAAAAGGGTTCCATGGAACCCATCCTATAAAACGCCCCACTCGCTAGCACCCTTCCTATCTATGATAAACATGTATATTGTCTCGTATTGCGATGGCTAAGAATTTACATTCATTTTTGAACTAATTTCCGTCGGAACACTTGTTCGAATCACGGCGCAGATAAACGGTTGCAGAAGGATCCGCAGGTGCGTACCCCCCGCACCTGCATGTCCCTGCTAATTTTCTATGTTTTTAGGTTCAAAGACCCTGCTCCATCTTTCTTGACGTATAGGTTGCGATAGTGTTGCATTCATGAGCAGTGATGACTTGATTGGCTTGCAATGTTCATTTCTATTTTCCCGTGTGCAATTCTGGCATTTAACATATACACTGAGTCAGTTTAATTATGTGGAAAACCGGGTAAATAATAAATATCCAGTTTTCCCGGTTTAAATGGGGAACTCGATTGTAAACCTAAACAACCCGAAGTGCAATACATCTTGCCGAAGCAAGAGAGCATAAAAAACATCAAGCGCATGATTATCACACAAGACAAGGATCAACGACCAAACATATAGAGATGGATGGTTGGGTGATGCCAACACATACTATGTCATAAGAGCATCTCCAACAGCTGTCCAACACGCGACGCGCTAAAAACTGGTTTACGGCGCGCCCACCGCCAGGTTTTGGCGCGGCGCGCGACGCTGGCTCCAACAGCCATGCTAAAATGCACAGCACGCGCGTAGCTCCAGCAAGCACGCTAAAATGCAGCGCGCGCTCTCGCACAAACACTACGTGCATTTGTAGCTCGTCGGCGCTTCGCGGCTGCCGAGACGCCTGCTCCTGCGAAGCTTGTGAAATACTACTGCCACCGTGGGGAGCACTCCACCGTCCAGCTGCGGGTGCTCTTTTCTAATTTTATTTAACCATACATAATTCTCAACTACATAGATATAAAAACGATACAAAGATATTTACATAGTTCATAGCATAGATAGATAAAACAGAACTACGGTGCAACTAGATAAACTACGGTGTAGTTAGAACTACTCTAAGTCCTCATCATCATCCTCATCCTCGGTGGTGTTGTCCGAGGTACCGATCCATATGTCCTCCCAACGTTCATCGTCTGACGTGAAGATCGACCTCCCACCTGCTTCAACGATATCGTACTGTGATATCGCCAGTGCCTTCCGCCGATGCCGGTCCGCCCGCTCCGTGCGGTGCCTTGCCGTCCTCTCCGCCCAGTAGGCGCGCTCGTCGGCAACGTCCTCCGGGTGGCGCCGACGCCACTCCGCCATGGCTCGCTCGTCCTCCTCAGCGCTGAGAAGGTGGCGCTGCCGCCGAAGGTGGTCCGCATGGTTCTGGTCCTGATAAGACGATGTAGACATCATGTAAGTTCATCTGCGACGGCAGCCTCTCTAGGCGCCACGCCGTCGTGTCGTACGCGCGGGCGGCCTCGTGTCGGTCCGGAACGTGCCGAGGCAGAGCCGGACGTCGCCGGACCGGATCTCAGTGTAGTACCAGCCGTTGGGGCACTCACGGACGCCGCGGTAGCCCGAAGATCCCCGGCGGCACGGCGGCATGGTGGCGCGATGGTGGCGGGGCGCTGGAATCGGTGAGGAAGCAGTGGAAGCGTCAAGGAGGCGGCAAAAATGGGCGCGTGGCAGTGTCGTGACGAGCGCCGCATTTTATAAGCGCGCGCGAAGCGGCGCGCCAAATCTATGACGCGAGCTGCCGCTTTCTCCCCCGCGCGCGCAATCGCTTCTCGTGCACTAGTTTTCCGTCTCCGCTGGAACGCGCGAAAACTTGCCACGCGCGCTAAATGAGCATTTTATCTCACGTGCGCGTCTTTTGATGCGGCAGTTGAAGATGCTTTAAGCACCTACAACACAACACTAACAAAGGTTGAGTTCCACCAAAGCAGTACGCAATGTGAGGAGACGGCAGCAGGCATACTCGGAAGATCACAAAAAATGGAGTTCCAACAACAACATACGAAAACCACCAGCGAAAACCGCATCATGCCGCACCAGCCTGGAAATTTTAAAAGAAAAGAAGAAGAATAAAAAGGAAACAAGAAAACTAGAGAAAAACCATTGCAAAAAAGAAAAAGAAACAAAATAAAACAAGAAACCCGGAGAAAACCAAGAAAGAAAGAAAAAATAACGAAGAAACAAAAAAAATAAAAACCAAAGAAAACGGTGACAAATTAAAAATAGAAGAAAAAAAGAAAAAGGAAAAGGAAAAAACTGGAACAAGCAGCGATCAGAACGCACAACCTAGTCAACTATCCCACCGTTTGATTTGTCACGTCAGTGAATACTAGCTAAAAGTTCTCAAGGTTCAAAATAGACTGAGATCAGACAGTACGACGTGCCGATTTCACGGATTGGGAATTCAGGGTTCGATTTAGTTTTCGTCTACAAGTTTATGATTTGATTTGGACTTTTTCGTTTCTTTAAAAGAGTTGGGTTTCCCCTCAGTTCCATTTCTATGAACAATAATGTATTTGTGATTATAGATTATAGAATAATGTATTTGTGATTATAGATTATAGGAAAATAATTCCATGGATACATCCCAATATTATGCATTGTGTATTCGTTGGAGGTGCCTTTGGATCAACTAGCCTCCAAAGTTCCTCCGAGATTGTATTGCCCGTGAATGTATTACCCTCAAGTAATCACTAGCACAAATGCCCGTAAAGATAATTGATGTGTCATCCAGAACAATGGTCTCCCCAATGGTAGGCGACAGAGGAAGTAGTTATGGCCTTCTCGCTGGACATGTTTGATATGTGAAATCTTAATAGTGGTGGGATAGATCGATGTGGTGGTGAGCACCCAACTCATGAATTTTTGAAAAACACAAACATTTTTTTTAAATTAAAACATTTTGTAAAAAAACTAAAACATTTTTTGAATGCTAAGAAAATTTTGAAACATGAACACGGTTTTTTATTTCTGGCCTTTTTTGAATATTTGAACAAAAAAGAAATTCAGAATATTTATGTAAATTTATACTTCACAGAAAAAATAAAAATAAATAAGGAAAAACGAAAAAAAATGTAAAAGAGAAAGAAAATGGAACAGAAAAAGAAAAATAGAAATAGAACAACGAAAAAGGGGAAACGGTCCGGCCCAGTCTTAGGCGCCCTGTGGGAAGCATTAACTATTTATCACTCTGTCCAACAAATAAGGTCTTCGCATTGCGTGGGCAATAATAAGTGGGATGGCCTCGTTGGGCCAGAGCGCGCAGGCCAATTGTAGAATTCTGGACAAACTTTTTTTCTTTTCTAGCGGACAGACGCTCAAAAAATTAGTACCATTTCAGATAGAAAAAAAAATCGACGTTGAACGGATGAAAAAACTGAAGAAACACATCTTGCTTTATTATTTATTAAAAAATATAAAATTAAGTTAAAAAAGTAGGTATAGATATAGAATAAAGGCTTATGGATTGGCAAAAAGAAAACGGTCGTTTTCCATCAAACTGACCCATCGCATCTTCCAGCCAAAACTGGGCCGTGCAAGTGGCCTGCACACTACGTGGACTAATTCATCATGCCAGTTCCATCGGGATCTTTTTCTTTGCCAACATATGAGGTCACCAGGAGCTGCTGCAACGTGTCTTGCATCCTTTTCAAAACGTAGATATTTATTAACATACATAGAATGAAGAAAGAAAAAAGTAAAATAAAATTGGAAAAGAAAACATACGTTAAAGTCATCTAGATGGGATTCAGTTAAATCTCATCTTCTAGACGAGAGCAGAGGAGTCATCTGAAATCACTCGCTCCCGACAACCAGTCGTCGTGGCTTCTGCACCTCACAGTGAAGCGTGTAGGTGTAGTGAGGCGGCAGGTGAGACGTCCACGCCCGGACCTTGAATCTCCCTCGAGGCCTCACACTTCCAAGGAAAAGGTCCTGCACGCTCATCGTCGTCTCAGGATCTCCAGGTCCAGGTTCAGCTTCAGCAGGATTGCCGCGAGCCTCGGGTGGTCTTCCGCCCTCGCGCTCCCGAAGGTGCGCGCCCTGAAGAAGTACCAGTACGCCTCCGGGGTGAAGAGGTGTAGCCTGAGGGGCTGCGTGGTTCCGAAGCGTGCGATCTTGTCGGACCGGCTCGCCACTATGATCTTGCTCCCGCTCGCGACGCGGCCTCTTGCAGCCGAGTACAGGCTCCTCCATGCATGGTCGTCAATGTCCGCAAGTGGCTCGATGATGATCAATGTCCTTCCGCCGCCCGTGCCACCGCGGTTTCGATGCTTGATTCTGGCTCCGTCTCGCAGAGCCTCCACACTAGCATCTTCAAGGCCATCTCCATTGAAACACATGATCCGAGAGAAGTGGCTGCGCACCCTTTCGTCGTCGCAAGCGTGCTCGATCAGGGTGCTCTTTCCGACTTTCCTTGGACCGATGATCGGCATGACCGCCGGACTTCCAGCTCCATCGGTTTGCAGCAGGAAGTTCAGGACATGTTCCATCTCCATTTGGCGCCCGAACATGCACTTGCTCAGCAGCAGATGCGTGCTGTACGGCTGGCGGTGCAAGCGTGGGCATCCGTTCAGAAGGAGTTAATTGCACAAAAGTACCACAATTCAGGCATCACATGTAGATTGGTATCACGGTTGCTATTTTTTGCGTGTCAGTACCAACATTCGTTCAAATTTTTGTAAATTAAACTAAAACGCGTATTTATACGTATTGACAGTGTATCTGACCGTTGGGGCCCGCCGTCAGGTGCCGACGTGGCATATTTTTTGCAGAAAACCCCTTGGCTTTATATGTAATCACATAAATGCCCATTTTTTCGCAGGAAAACCGCCATTGAGAGGGACTTTTTTTTTCGTTCGCGAGTTTTTCGCGGACTTGTTCGAAAGTTTCCGGCGAATTGAACAAATAAATAACCGGAACGACAAAACGGGCGACGCGCGATTCGAACCCGCGACCTGCAGGTCCGCCACCGGGCGCGCTAGCCACAACGCCACAGCAACGCTGTCGACTAGATAAAGGCGAAATTTATATTATACTAGCACACACACGCTGGGCCGGCAGCTGGGCCAAGCAAAGCCTGCAATATTATTTTACAAATAATTTAGTAGATGCAAAATGATCATTTTTTAATAGATGCAAAATGATCATTTTTTCTTATTTTTACACAGGCTGTATTAATAGCATTATCTTTGAGAAAAATATTAGTTTGGTAAACATGCAGATTACTACATGTGTTATTTTTTGACAAATAGAAGTATGAACCCGAGATTGAAACTTTCATCGTTTTAAAAAAGTTCAATATATAGGTGACAAATGGTTTTATAATACAAAAAAAGTTCATCGTATATTTATATAAAATCATTGTGTATAAAAAAAATGTTCAATGTTTAGTGTTTATTTACAAAAAAATATCGCAGAATAAAAAGTTCACTATAAACTTAAAAAATGTTACGATCATTTTGCATCTATCAATTTTTTTACATAATGCACGGTGAATATTTATTACAAAAATGATCAATATAAGTTAAAAAATCTTAATATATGTTGAATAATTTTGGTAACATATATTAAGAAAAAATTTCAACATATATTACAAAAATGATCAATTTCATTGAATGAAAAAAGATGAAGAAACGAAAAGAAACCTGGGCAACGAACGAGCCCCAGCAAAACGCAAAACGAAAAAATTATTACAGGCCTCGGTTGGCCCAACCACCGGTCCAGCGTTTTATTGTTTGTATAAAGAGGTACTGCCCGCCCTTGAAACAGAGCACACCTGTGGCCTGGTTGCTGGTCGCAGGTTCGAAACATGCTGATGATGTGCATTTTTCCTTTATTTTATTTGTTTATGCTGAACATTTTTTTAAATACGTTGAACAATTTTCTAAAGATATGATGAATATATTTGACATAATGCAAGGTGAATTTCTTGTAATTTATGGTGAACATTTTCTTAGACATGATGGATTTTCGTAAAATATTGCAGGCTTTGCTTGGCCCGGCTGCAAAGTTCACTATAAACTTAAAAAATGTTATGATCATTTTGCATCTATCAATTTTTTTACATAATGCACGGTGAATATTTATTACAAAAATGATCAATATAAGTTAAAAAATCTTAATATATGTTGAATAATTTTGGTAACATATATTAAGAAAAAATTTCAACATATATTACAAAAATGATCAATTTCATTGAATGAAAAAAGATGAAGAAACGAAAAGAAACCTGGGCAACGAACGAGCCCCAGCAAAACGCAAAACGAAAAAATTATTACAGGCCTCGGTTGGCCCAACCACCGGTCCAGCGTTTTATTGTTTGTATAAAGAGGTACTGCCCGCCCTTGAAACAGAGCACACCTGTGGCCTGGTTGCTGGTCGCAGGTTCGAAACATGCTGATGATGTGCATTTTTCCTTTATTTTATTTGTTTATGCTGAACATTTTTTTAAATACGTTGAACAATTTTCTAAAGATATGATGAATATATTTGACATAATGCAAGGTGAATTTCTTGTAATTTATGGTGAACATTTTCTTAGACATGATGGATTTTCGTAAAATATTGCAGGCTTTGCTTGGCCCGGCTGCCGGCCCAGCGTGTGTGTGCTAGTATAATAAAACTTTCGCCTGTATCAAGTCAGCAGCGTCGCTGTGGCGTAGTGGCTAGCGCGCCCGGCGGCACGCCTGCAGGTCGCGGGTTCGAATCGCGCGCGCGCTCGTTTTTTCGTTCCGGATATTTATTTGTTCAATTCGCCGGAAACTTTCGAACAAGTCCGCGAAAAACTCGCGAACGAAAAAAAAGTCCCTCTCAATGGCAGGTTTTCCTGCGAAAAATGGGCATTTATGTGATTACATATAAAGCCAAGGGATTTTCTGCAAAAAATATGCCACGTCGGCACCTGACGGACGGGCCCCAACGGTCAAATACACTGTCAATACGTATAAATACGCGTTTTAGTCTAATTTGTAAAAATTTGAACGAATGTTGGTACTGACACGCAAAAATTAGCAATCGTGGTACCAATCTGCATGTGATGCCCGAATTATGGTACTTCTGTGCAATTAACTCGTTCAGAAGCATTACGAACTCACTCGCGTCTTCAAAGGTGTCCCTTAAGCAGCCAGAACTTGCTCCATCAGCTCAGCTTGTGCTGAGCCTTGACGATCACTGCCACCGCAGAAGCAGACGCACTTTTTTTTGGAAAATGAAGGTTTACCCCCGGCCTTTACATCATAATGATGCATGCAGCCATTTTATTAAAAGTTTGCGAAGCAGTGTTGAACTTCGATGGGGGCAAAGGAGTAACTAACCTCATGATCTTTCGTCCTGTCTTCTCCATGGGATTGGCAACTGAGCACGTCGAGGGTGTAGCACCCTCTGTACATCTCTTCTTTCAGTATGCCGAGTTGATGCATCATGACCTGGTTCGTGATGAGCTGGCCATCTGCCTTCTCGACAACGACGCGAACCCGCAGCAGCAGCCGCTGCAGGCTCCGCAGCCGCTCCTCCTCCGTCGGCGCCGCCATCCGCTTCAGGTATCTGTCCACGAGGAAGGACATGGATCTACCGGCGAGCTCATCGATGACAGCAGAAAATATCACCTCCATGTATCGTGCGTTTGCGTACCCGAGAACTGAACCCCTTCCCTTTGTGACCTTGTCTAGTGTGGCAGTGCGACGGATCAACGAACGACCCAGAGCTGGGTGAAAGTTCTGTATATATCTGAAGCTTTTCCGAGGACTCGCCCGATGGGAACATTTCGACGCATACTTCTCATCGACGCCGTGTCGGACTGTAAAACAGCGTAGCCGTACAATTTAATTTCTACTCGTATCCTGTCTCTGGCTGGGAGGAAAAGAATTCTGCAGATGGATCTCTCGTGATCCACATCTCTGCTAGTCTAGAAGGAGCATATGAAAATGAACTGCTGCGTAACGAAGGCCGGCCTTGGGCATGCAGCGTGAACATGATTTGAGTTGCACCGAGCGGACTGGAAGCTCATGCATGCATGCATGCATTTGCATGCATGGTCGATGGTTTGTCAAATAACACGAAGTGATGTGGGTAAGGGAGAACAACCCAGTGCTCTCTATGTTTTCAAAAAAAAAAAAACCAGTGCTCTCTATCGGGGTCGAGCGTGATGTTTTAAGCTGTAGAGGGCCCCGCCTAGCCTTTCATGACGTATAGGTTACGATCTCTCTGCATCCACATACATGAGCCGTGCTGACTGGGTTGCAGATTTTGTTTCCATTTTTCCGTTGTCTGCTTCTTGCATACAGCCAATTTTATTTGGAGAAAACACCTCCATTCCACAATATAGTGTCTAGTATTTTATTTTTTTGGAAAGTCAAGTTACATCAACTTTGACCAAGTTTTTTTTTGCTGGTGACTTTTGACCAAATTTGTAAAGAAAAGTAGCTACATATGTTATATCAAATCAATATCATTGAATACATGCATAGTGAGACCTATAGAGAAAACTCAAAAAAGAAATATGCATGGTCAGACATATGTAGAAGAGTATTTATAGAGGGGTATTCAAGATGATGTGCCGGCTCAGTCTCTCGGAGGTGCTCATAGAGATAAGGCATGTGTGTGTGCGTTCATATGGGTGAATGTATATGTGTGGGTATGAGCGTTCGCGTCTATATTGTGTTAAAAAAGTTAATGTTGTTGTTGATATCTTTTCGAATAAACTTGGTCAAACATTACAGCGTTTGATTTAGAAAAACTATATGCACTCGTTGTCGAACGGAGGGAGTAGAACATGCATGTAGAGTTACTCAGATAAAACATAAAGACTTGTAAAAAGAAGATAAAACATAAGAGCATTTCCAATAGTTGATGTATTCTATATCACCATAAAATGGTTGGAGTAAAATATACATCACCAAAAAAGAGCCAACTTCAACCGTTGATGTATAAATAGATGAGGTAAAACTAGGGCTCCAATAGATAATGTAAAACTAGTTGAACTACTGCATTGGTTCAATAGCGGTCGCATTGGAACTCGACACCAAAGTTCTCGGACGGCTTCTCCCACACCCTGAAGAAGCCGATCTTGCTCTTCGAGACCTTCGGCAGCATGGCGGCGGCCCGGGGTGCGGCTTGGAATCAGGCGTCAGAGTCGTGGGGAGACGACTGGCGGAGTCACAGAGACTGTGCTGCGAGGTGGCGGCGACGGACATTCTCCAAATAGAGCGGTGACGGTCCAGCGGCTTCGATTCGGCCAAAGTCGAAGTGTGCGGCTACGGGGAAGCGGCGGAGTCGCAGGGACACAACCAGAAGATAAAGGTTGAGGTTGTGCGGGTGCCAGCAGGGACGGAAATGCTTCAAATGGGGGGCGATGCGATGGCGCCGGAGCGGCTTGAATTTCGGTGATTTTGAGCATGGGGCGGCGGATCTGGCGGCCGGGGGGGCGGGGAGGCTAGATTTGCCAACGACGGGGTGCGGCTGGGCCCGGTGGACAGGCGGCGCGACGGCATGGTGCGACGGGAGGCAGGGCAGTCGTGCCATGGGAGGGGGGACGAAGGTTTCAGTGACGGTTGGACTTCACGCGAAAGACGTTTTTGGCTCGACGATGTATATTTCAGTTATTTTTACATTTACGTCACTTATTGGAGGTACTTTGAAGAAGCCATACGGACGTATTCCAACATATCAGGCATTATTGCTCGTGCACAGTGCTCCGTATAACACAGGGAGGCCGGATGAACGGAGGTCGTTCTCCATCAAAGCTGACCCATCGAAGTCGTCCAGCCAAAACTGAGCCGCGCAAGTGGCATGTGCATGATGGCACCGTTTGCGGCTCCGCTCTGCGTGGACGCAGTTTAGCGCATCTTCAACAGCCGCGTCAAAAGATGCGTGCGTATGATAAAATGCGCATTTAGGGCGCGCGGCAAGTTTTTACGCGCTCCAGCGGCGGGAAATAATGGCGTGCGGTGAACGTTTGCGCGGGAGGTCCCGCACGCAGTTGAACTTTCACGATGTCTACACGCGCGAGCAGGCGCAGCGTGTCGCCCCTCCGCCTCGTCTGATTACAGACCAGGACTGTGAGAACCATCGTCGGCTGCAGCGCCGCCTCCTCATTGCCGAGGAGGACGAGCGAGTCATGGTGGAGTGGCGCCGGCGCCACCCGGAGGACGTCGCCGCCGAGAACGCCTTCTCGGCGGAGAGGATGGCAAGGCACCGCGCGGAGCGTGCCGACAGGCATCGGCGCAAGGCACTGGCCATATCGCAGTGCGATATCGTCGAGGCAAGCGAGACGTCGATCTTCTCCCCCGACAATGACCATTGGGAAGACATCTGACTCGATACCTCGGACAACACCACCAAGGATGATGATGATGATGAGGAGGAGGAGTAGGTTCTAGTTGCACCGTAGTTTATTTATCTTCTTCTTTTTGCGGGGTAAAAGGGAGTTTTTTATTGCATTGTCACAGTGTTACAATCGAGAGGCCACAACTCCTCAATACAAGATGGAATCGAGTGAAGCCACACAGCAGTGGTTCGCTCGGTGCGGCTATAGTTTGCCAATCGATCTGGTACACTATTTTGACTACGATGAATTTTCCGAGGTAAAAATTCCCTCTCCTTGATTAACTCCTTTATCTCCAGGACCAGATGCCTATATGCTGATCTTGTAAGGCCATCAAAAGACAACACTGAGAGAGCTGTTGCCGAGTCCGATTGCACGACCACCGAAAGCTCTGTGTGTTCAATGGCCAAAGCCATGCCCTCCATAATAGCGTGAATCTCCACCTCCAGTGGGTCGTTACAGTTAAAAATGTAGCGATAGGCCGCCATCAGGACCGTATCCAAATCATCTCTCAATACAATACCGGCCGCTGCCGAGCCATCGACGTCCCGAAAGGAGGCGTCAATGGATAATGCAGCGGTCCCAGGCGTAGGAGCAGGTCACGGTCGCGCTGGTTGTTTGCACTGAGTATTGCCCTCTCGTATCTGAACTGGGACCGGCATTTTCCCTTTAAGAATCTCCTCTGTGGTAAACTGACCAGCAAGCCGAATGGACTTGTAGTAGTTGTCGAGATACTCCACTGTTGCCTCCGCCGGTGGTACTTCCTTGCCATGTGAACTATCATTCCGCAGCTGCCATATTCGCCATAGCAACATGATCACCATGTTCCGGACCTGATCCGAGCATTCGTTCAGAAGGTTCAGCAACCACTCCTTGCCCGTATTGATCAACACACTGTCTGATGGAAGGAGCCTTCTGGTGCGCATATTCACCCAAATGAGACGCGCGTGTTCACATGTGATTAAAGCATGAAACTCATTCTCTTCCTCAATTCCACAGAGCGGGCAAGTAGACCTCTTCGATATTTGTCTGTATTTTTTGCATGCCGCGGTCGGCAAAGCCCCTGACACCACCTTCCAAGACGCTATCCTCATATTCTGCGGCACCGAGGCTTTTCACAAACAGTTCCAAATTGATCTTCTACCATTTGGTGGTCTTGAAGATGATCCTCCGGCAAATGCTGCATCATGAGCGCTTGTAGCCAATTTATAAGCACTTTTTACTGAGAACAACCCATTCTTCTCTGGGAACCACGAGATAAAGTCACAGCGCTGCCTTGGGGATGTCCTGATTTTCAGAATGTGATCAATGTCCATCTGCCAAAAGTGTTGTGTCAACCTATCCATTCGCCATGCACCATTCTGATCCAAGAAGCCAGAGACGCGATTTAGGCAGGATGCACGCTTTGGTGTTATTGGCCGGAATGAGGACGCCCTCGGAATCCATGGATCCCTCGAGGTTCTTATCATAGAACCATTTCCAACTCGCCATACAATACCTTTTTTTAACAATTCTAGGCCATGGAGAATTCCTTTACAGACTACCGAGCCATGGTTGGGGAAGACCGTGTCCAGCAAGTTGCCTGAGGGATAGTACTTGGCCTTAAACAATCTGGCACAGAGGTTGTCCGGAGAGTCGATGAGACGCCAGGCCTGTTTGGCGAGAAGCGCCTGGTTAAAAGCTCTCATATCTTTAAAACCCAAGCCCCCCATTGTCGTAGTTTATTTATTTAGTTGCACCGTAGTTCTTTATCTATCTGTGCTATGAACTATGTAAAATATCTTTGTATCATTTTTTATCTACGCTAGAACTATGTATCATTTTTATCTATGAACAAAATATGTATGCACAGTTAAAAAAAATGTTCGTGCGAGAGCGCACGCTGCATTTTAGCACGCCCGCTGGAGCTACATGCGTATGCTGCATTTTAGTGCGGCTGCTGAAGCCAGCATTGCCCACTGCGCCAAATCTGACGATGGGCGTGCCGCAAACTAGTTTTTAGTGTGCCGCGTGTTGGGCGGCTGTTAGAGATGCTCTTATTATCATGCCAATTCCATTTTGGGTTATCCTTTTCATTGCCGACATACGTCGTGGTATATCACCCGGAGCTGCCGCGACGTGTCATGCATCTTTATCTGAACGTAGAGATCATCCTGATATTTCTGCCTACCTAGACAGCGCCGTTCATTTCGTGTGGAATGCATCAATCATGTCGATTTGTAGAGACGAGGTCACATTTTTCCGACTTGCCCTTTCCGTTTTAAAATAGTTGTCATGGTTTTAATTCAAATTAAATGATTTTAACTAAAACCACGGCAAATACGTTGGAACGGAGGGAGTACTTAGTATATAAACTAGCAAACATGAATTGTCAAATTTGCCAAAGCAAAGAGAAAACATTTTCATCTTTGTTTATATTTGAGCGGTACTTTTTAGTAGCGTTAGATAATTGTCTACGTGTTGCAACGAATATAAACATTTTAGTATGCTAGGCCGTGATTTATCTGTCCATATAAATATGATACTGTAAAATAAGTGTTACTAAATCATGTCCACAATTTACCTACTTAAATAATTTTAGATTTTATTTGGTAAATACTTATCAACTTACCAAATAAAACACAATTTTATATGATAAGAACTTATTGGCTCACCAAATAAAAATTCATTTTACTTTCATTTGATTTTTTTACTTGGTAAGTGAATAAAAGGTGACCCGAGGCAACCCTCCCTATCTCCTTTCGTCTCCCCCACTCCCTCACAGCCAAATAAAATAGAAAAACGTTAACCGGCAACGGTCAGATATTAGAGGGTTTCCAGCGAACTACCTTTTGGACTTTTGGTCCTTGGATGGAAAACACGGATCTTAAATCACTTAAAGTAGCCATGTCATGTTTCTTTTTTGGCTCGCTGTGAGGCTTCGGTCCTGTTTGGTTCATAAGTCTTAGAACTTTTTCTAGTCTCAACTAAAAAGTCTCTAGTCTCTAAAAAGTCCCCCCTGTTTGTTTTTAGAGACTAAAAAGTCCCTAGTCCCTTACTATAGGTTATTAAATGACCATGTTACCCCTAGTATATAGAAAAATAACAATCAAACAACACCATGGGGTGGCGGTCCAATGGATGCATGGAGGGGCATTGTTGGAAAAGTCCCAAAAAAGACTCTCCGTGAGAGTCTTCTTCATTTAGTCCCAAATGACTAGTTTAATCCCCAAAAAGTCCCCCCCGTTTGGTAAAAAAGTCTCTAAGAGGGGCTTTCTCTAGTCCCTACACAAAAAAGTCCCTGGAAACAAACGCCCCCTTCATCAGCACGAAAGCATGTGACGTATCGAGCCGCTCCTACCTTATCCTCAGAGCATCTCCAGCCGTGTCCCCAACAGGCCCTCCCCAGACGTTTTTGCCATGCCGGCGCCGAAAAAACGGCCCAATCGCCCCCTAGAAGCCCGCTTTTCGCCGGCTCGGGCTGAATTTGGTGCCGGCGGACCCAGGCAGAACCCGGCGCCCTGGGGGCGCCTGGGGCGCCGGCACAAGCGAAAAGGCGTCCGTGGGTCCGCCCTGTCGGCGAGCTGAGCGCCTCTTCCCGTCGTTTCTCCCCGCTTTTCCCCCAGTTCCCTCCCATTTTCTCCTTTCCTCCCGCCATTCTCTCTCCCGCTCGCCTCCCAGCCGGCTGCCATGCCACCGAAGAAGTACGTCGTTCCCCGCGCCGCGGCGACCGCGATCGCCTCCGTCGCCCAGCCGAAGCAGAGGAAGCCGAGGGTGCCACCGTCAAAGC